AGGGAAACTCTGTCCCAGAAAGTAGTAAAACCCAGTGCCCGGTCCCTCCCTTGAGGCCCAGGTTACACGAGGCCTTCACTATCCACACTTCCTATGTTCTCCTGACCTATGCTCCCTTTCATTCCGTATACCAACTGGATTTTCTCAAAGCATGAGGTCCTTTTTGTTGTTGTTGAGATGGAGCCTCACTCTGTCGCCAGGCTGGAGTGCAGTGGTGCAATCTCAGCTCACTGCAACCTCAGCCTCCTGGGTTCAGGCGATTCTCCTGCCTCAGCCTCCCAAGTAGCTGGGATTACAGGCACCCGCCACCATGCCTGGCTAATTTTTTGTATTTTTAGTAGAGACAGGGTTTCACCGTGTTGGTTAGGCTGGTCTCGAACTCCTGGCCTCAGGTGATCCACCCACCTCGACATTCCAAAGTGCTAGGATCACAGGCATGAGCCACCACGAGGTCTTTATTGTTAAAGGAATTTTCTTAGAGCTAGCAGCATTTTCTGCAGTGACTTATCCTCACATGGACCTAAGGATCTTTATGATGTCCAACAGAAGAATACTAGAGTCCACACAAGCCATCCTGGCCTCAGAGTCAGACTCCCTGCTGTCTCCTGATGCCTGTATTACCACTTTGTTTTTGTTTTGGGGACAGGGTCTCACTCCGTCATGCAGGCTGGAGAATGGGGGTGCAATCATGGCTCACTGCGGCCTCAAACTCCCTTGCTCCAGCGATCCTCCCACCTCAGCCTCCCAAGTAGCTGGGACTACAGGTGCATGCCACCATGTCCAGCTAGTTTTTAAAACTGTTTTTGTAGCTATGGGGGTCTCACTATGTTGCCCAGGCTTGTCTTGAGCTTCTGGCCTCAGGTGATCCTCCTGTCTTGGCCTCCCAATTAGCTGGGATTATAAAAATTAGCCAGGCACGGTAGCTCATGCCTAGTTTCTTTTTTTGTAGAGATGTAGTTTTGCTATGTTACCGGGCTAGTCTCGAACTCCTGGCCTCAAGCAATTCTTTTGCCTCAGCCTCTCCAAATGCTGAGATTACAGGCATGAGCCACCACACCTGGTGTATCTTCATTTACATTTTAAATCAAAGACACTACCTGCTGCCTCACCTCTGAGGCTCATGTCCGACTCAAGGGAGTCACTCCTCTGTTTAGAAGTTCCCGGCTGTGTGCAGTGGCTCACGCCTGTAATCCCAGCACTTTGGGAAGCCAAGGTGGGCAGATCACCTGGGGTCAAGAGTCTAAGACTCAACCTGGTCAACATGGTGAAACCCCATCTCTACTAAAAATACAAAATTAGCCAGGCATGGTGGCACATGCCTATAATCCCAGTTACTTGGGCGACTAAGGCAGGAGGACTGCTTGATCCCGGGAGGCAGAGGTTGCAGTGACCCAAGACTGTACCACTGCACTCCAGCCTGGGTGACAGAGAAAGCCTCGCTCTCAAAAAAAAAAAGTTCATGGCCAGGTGCAGGGGCTCACGCCTGTAATCCCAGCACTTTGGGAGGCCGAGGCAGGCGGATCATCTGAGGTCGGGAGTTCAAGACCAGCCTGACCAACATAGAGAAACCCCATCTCTACTAAAAATAAAAAAAATTAGTCAGGCATGGTGGCACATGCCTGTAATGCCAGCTACTAGGGAGGCTGAGGCAGGAGAATCACTTGAACCTGGGAGGCGGAGGTTGTGGTGAGCCGAGATCGCACCATTGCACTCCAGCCTGGGCAACAAGAGCAAAATTCCGTCTCAGAAAAAAAAAAAGAAAAAAATTCCTGAGCTGAACTGCTGAATTTCTGAGAGGTGAAGACCACCTGTTCATCTCCATCAGATTTCTAGCGTGAGACCCAGCCAAGGGTATTTTTAAAGTTCCCCAAGTAATTTCGGTATGGATCATCAATTAATTAGCAGTGTCCTGAACAAATGTTTGACAAAGAATCCTTGTCCTGATCCAAAGAGTGATTAAAGGAGTGTCCCCCAGAGCTTCTTGAAGAAACATGGACAAATGAAATAACAGCTCTTCTCCCCGTGGGGTTATACTGAGTACAGCCCATTAGGCAGAATGGAGCCATATTACACGGTCTTGAAAGAAGAATGTAAAAGTCATATAAAAGGTCATATACCAGGCTGGACAGTAGAGTAACCAGATGCATGAAGTAGACAAAGCTGACATTAACCTCTAAGATCGGCCAGGCACAGTGACTCACACTTGTAATCCCAGAACTTTAAGAGGCCGGGGTGGGAGGATCGCTTGAGCCCAGGAGTTCAACACAATCCCGGGCAACATCGTGAGACCCCATCTCTACTAAAAAACATGGAAGATAAGCCAAGTTTCTTTCTTTCTTTCTTTCTTTTTTTTTTTTTTAAAGAGACAGGGTCTCGCCCAGGCTGAAGTGCAGTGGTGTGATCATAGTTCACTGCAACATCGACCTCCTAGACTCAAGCAATCCTCCAGCCTCAGCCTCCCAAAGTGCTGGGACTACAGGTGACAGCTGCCATGACTGGAGGGTTTAATTATTTCTGATTCCATTACTGGTGCTAGCTGATCTTTGATTTTTGTTTTTCTGAGATGGGGTCAAGCTCTGTTGCCCAGGCTGGAGGATCCACAGCTCACTGTAGCCTCAACCTCCTGGGCTCAAGTGAACCTCCCTCCTCAGCCCCCGATTAGATGAGACTACAGGCGCACGCCACCATACCCGGCTAATTTTGTGTTCTTAGTAGAAACGGGATTTCACCATGTTGGCCAGGCTGGTCTCAAAGTCCTAACCTCATGTGATCTGCCTGCCTTAGCCTCTCCAAGTGCTGGGATTACAGGCGTGAGCCACCATGCCTGACCCCTGAATGAGCGTTTAATAGAAAAGATGCTGCCAACTCCAAATAACCCAGCCCCTTCGTTTTTTACAGCAGAAACTTGGTGATCAGCATGAACCAATGCCACGCGAAGGTGAGCTGGGAGGGAGACAGCAGTGATTTAAAGTCATCAAGTTGGCCAGGCGCAGGGGCTTATGCCTGTCATCCCAGCACTTTAGGAGGCTGAGGTGGGCGGATCACGAGGTCAGGAGATCAAGACCATCCTGGCCAACATGGTGAAATGGCATCTCTACTAAAAATACAAAACTTAGCCAGGTGTGGTGGTACGCACCTGTAGTCCCAGCTACTCGGGAGGCGGAGGTTGCAATGAGCCGAGATCGCGCCACTACACTCCAGTCTGGGTGACAAAGTGAGACTCCATCTCAAAAATAAATAAAGTCATTAAGTACACTAAAGGACAGGAATAGCTTTCACCAGTTTGTGGGTGTGAAGAAGAGAATGGGGACTAAATTATACGTGTAGCAAATATGTTTTTAAGGCATTTCACAGTGAAAGAAAAAGATGAAAAGAACAACAAATGGCACAAAGTAATAGCTGTTTTAACAAAGGGCAGATGAATGAATCTCTGAACACAGGAGAAAGCCTGTTTTATAACCACAGGGAAAATACGGAAGATTCTACAGGAAGACTTAGCAATCGAGGTCTTAGTGTGGACAGCAGAGCAGAATCAAAGGACAAATGAAAATAGACGGTCAGGCATATGGCTCATGCCTGTAGTTCCACCTACTTGGGAGGCTAAGGCAGGAGGATCGTGCGAGCCCAGGAGTTTGAGACCATCCTGGACAATATAGGGAGAACCTATCTCTACAAAATGAAAAAAAAAAAAAAAAAGAGCTCAGTGTGATGGCATGTGTCTGAAGTAGCAGCTACTCAGGAGGCTGAAGTAAGAGGATCGCTTGAGTCCGGGAGTTGGAGGCTGCAGTGAGCTACGATCACTCCATTGCATTCCAGTCTGGGTGACAAAGCAAGACCGTCTCTCAAAACAAGAAAAAAGAAGGCCAGGAGCGGTGGCTCATGCCTGTAATCCCAGCACCTTGGGAGACAGAGGTGGGAGGGTCACCTGAGGTCAGAGGTTCAAGACCAGCCTGGCCAACATAGTGAAACCCCATCTGCACTTAAAAAAAAAAAAAATTAGCTGAGCATGGTGGTGGTGCGTGCTTGTAATCCCAGCTACTCAGGAGGCTGAAGCAGGAGAACAGCTTGAACCTGGGAGGCGGAGATTGCAGTGAGCCAAGATTGTACCACTGTACTCCAGCCTGGGCAACAGCCAGACACTCTCAAAAAAAGAAAAAAAAATAGAATGCGCCTTTCTCTAAAATCCAAGGACAGGAAGGGAATCGTGTAGTGATGTGTGCAGGTGGCAGGATCACTGAGGCATCTCAGGGTTTAGGGCCAAATGTCCACAGCTGCTTGCAAAGATGCCAGGCTTTTTGTTGTTGTTGTTGTTGCGATGAGTCTCGCTCTGTCACCAGGCTGGAGCACAGTGGCGCAATCTTGGCTAACTGCAACCTCTGCTTCCCAGGTTCAAGCGATTCTCCTGTCTCAGCCTCCTGAGTAGCTGGGACTACAGATGCGTGCCACCACACCCGGCTAATTTTTAGTAGAGACGGGGTTTCACTGTGTTAGCCAGGATGGTCTCGATCTCCTAACCTCATGATCCGCCCGCCTTGGCCTCCCAAAGTGCTGGGATTACAGGCGTGAGCCACCGCGCCCAGCCAAGATCCCAGGCTTTTAAGCCCAGTTGCCTGAAACAAGAGGACATCCGGCAGGGTGCCATGGCTCACGCCAGTAATCCCAGCACTTTGGGAGGCCAAGGCAGGTGGATCACCTGAGGTCAGGAGTTTGAAACCAGCCTGACCAACATGGTGAAACCCCGTCTCTACTAAAATTACAAAATTAACCAGGCATGGTGGCACGCGCCTGTAATCCCTGCTACTCAGGAGGCTGAAGCAGGAGAATGGTTTGAACCTGGAAGGCAGAGGTTGCAGTGAGCTGAGATTACACCACTGCACTCCAGCCTGGGTGACTAAAACTCCATCTCAAAAAAAAACAAAAAAAACGAGAACATCCATAAGTTCTCCTTTGTAGAATTCCAGGAGCCTCATCCCGTGGCCCCCTGCAGGCCACCCACTCACCTAGGAAGCTCCATGTCCATATCTCTTCCTCCTCCATCCATGGCTCCTTCCCCTGCTCCAAACTGGAGATCACAGCTGGTTTGCTGACTTGACACCCTGTTCGGGAGAAACAGTTAAAGGATTTGTGCTGAGCCAGCTGGGCCTTCCAAGCAAGCAGACAGTTCAGCTTGCAAAACAAACGGTGGCGTCTCAGCCAGAGAAGAGCTGTTTCACTTGGCCGGTAACTTCACAAGGACCCCAAATGGGATCGAGACTCTTTGACCACTGAAACCCAAGGCCAAGCACTTTTATTTTTGACACAGGGTCTTGCTCTGTTGCCCAGGCTGGAGTGCAATGGCACAATCACAGTTCACTGCAGCCTCAACCTCCTGCACTCAAATGATCCTCCCGTCTCAGCCTCCCAAATAGCTGGGACTACAGGCATGCATCACCACCCTCAACTAATTTAATTTTTTTTTGTAGAGATGGGGTTTTGCTCTGTTGCCCAGGCTAGTGTTGAACTCGGACCTCAAGTGATCCTTCCATTTGAGACTCACAAGTATCTGGGACTGCAGGCACATGCCACCATGCCTGGCTCATTTTTTAATTTGTATAGATCGGGTCTTGCACCTGTGGCTCAAGCAATCCTCCCACCTCGGCTTCCTGAAATGCTAGGATCACAGGCATGAGCCACCATGCCCAGCCTAGCACTTTTAGTGTGTGAGCAGTTCCCCAGTTTTATACAACTAAGAAAAAGAGTTCATGTAACCCGAGGACCACGGGGAAGTCCTCCTCACCCAGAGAGAGCAGGTGGCTGTAGTTCTCCAGCATCACATCCGGTACAGGGTCCTCCGCTCCAGGTCCAGGTGCTGCCACTCTTTCCAGGTGAAGCCCACAGCCACGTCCCCGAATGACAGTGACCCCTGGGACAGCACATGGCTGATGAATGTGGAGTGGCTGGCACTGGGTACCATGGCAAAGGCGTAGAGGAGATTGCTCTTACCACCTTCTGAGGTCCGCTCTCCCCATGTTAGGTTAGGTAGGAAGCTGAGCACGCCCCTAACTTTGTACTACACTTTGTGGAAGAGAAAACAAAAAAATCATTAGAAAAAATATCTCGGCCGGGTGCAGTGGCTCACGCCTGTCATCCCAGTACTTTGTGGGGCTGAGACGGGCAGATTGCTTGAGGTTAGGAATTTGAGACCAGCCTGGCCAACATGGTGAAACCCCGTCTCTACAAAAAACAGATTAGCTGGACGTGCTGGTGGGTGCCTGTAATCCCACCTACTAGGGAAGTTCAGGCAGGAGAATCGCTTCAACCCAGGAGGCGTAGGTTGCAGTGAGCTGAGATCCTGCCCTTGCACTCCAGGCTGTACAACAGAGTAAGACTCCATCTCAAAAAAAAAAAAAAAAAAAAAAAATCTCACTACTGGATCTCTTCATTCCTACTGGATCTCTTCATTCCTTCAACAATCAAGCACCTTTCAAGGACCTGGCACGCTGCCGGTGTTCTACCAGGTGCTTGGGGTCAAGGGCTAAACACAAAATCGTTCCTGTTCTACAGGTGCTTAGAAGTGTTGCTGCAGATGAACACATGAAGAGAGCTGTACCGTAAGACTACGCTGTAGGCGGTGGTAGACATGTGGTTACATACAGAATGGACACGAGGAAGACAGCAGCCAGATCCAACGTACTGTCAAGTGAAGCTTCCTAGGAGGTCACGGGCGAGCAGAATCACGAAAGATAAACAGAGTGATCTGAGGTCTGAAGGATATTCCTAGCAAGAGGCCTGGCATGGGCAAAGGAGGCACGGAAAAGTCTGGTAGGAGCCACAAAGAGAATGAAAATGCAGGGTGTAAGGTGTGTGCGGGAGAGGGAGAGAGCGTGCGTAGAAGTGCCTGTTTTTTTTTCCCCCTGTAGGAAATGGGGACTTGCATCTCACGGTATTTAAGGAGGGGAACTACAGATGATCTGATGTGGAAAAAAGGTGGGAGGTGCCAGACGGGAGGATAGCAGGAGCTAAATTAGCGCACGATTCTAATCCTCAATGTAAGCTATGCTCAAAATTAAAACAGCAAGAGAAATGCAGAGAAGGGATTCCACAGATGCAGAACAGGGCTTGGCCTCCTTCACCCCTCCCATCCCCTCTCTATGAATTAAAGACCCCCATTTAAACATTTTTAATTTATACCTATTAGAAGAAAATATGAGGGTATATATAATACACATAATATATAGATATTATCTATTATATCTATATATTATATATAGACATATAGAGATAGAGAGTTTTTTTTTTTTTTTTTTTGGAGCGTGTTTCGCTCTTGTCACCCAGGCTGGAGTGCAGTGGCGCAATCTTGGCTCACCGCAACCTCTGCCTCCTGGGTTCAAGCGATTCTCCTGCCTCAGCCTCCTGAGTAGCTGGGATTACAGGCATGCACCACTACGCCTGGCTAATTTTGTATTTTTAGTAGAGACAGGGTTTCTCCACGTTGGTCAGGCTGGTCTCGAACTCCTGACCTCAGGTAATCCGCCCGCCTCAGCCTCCCAAAGTGCTGGGATTACAGGTGTGAGCCACTGCCCCTGGTCTTAGATCTTTTTGAGACAGAGTCTCTCTCTGTCCAGGCTGGAGTGCAGTGGCGCAATCTTGACTCACCACAACCTCCGCCTCCTGGGTTCAAGCGATTCTCCTGCCTCAGCCTCCTGAGTAGCTGGGATTACAGGCATGTGCCACCACACCCAGCTAATTTTATTTAAATTTTTTGTAGAGGTGGGGTCTCACTATGTTGTTTAATGAATTTTAGTTTAGATAATTTGAGGCCGGGCAGGTTGGCTCACATCTGTAATTCCAGCACTTTGGGAAGCTGAGGCAGGTGGATCACTTGAGGGCAAGAGTTCAAGACCAGCCTGGCCAACATGGTAAAACCCCATCTCTACTAAAAATACAAAAGAATTAGCTGGGCATGGTGCCGGGCACCTGTAATCCCAGCTACTCAGGAGGCAGGAGAAACACTTGAACCCGGGAGGCAGAGCTTGAGTGAGCCGAGATCGCGCCACTGCATTCCAGCCTGGATGACAGAGCAAGAGTCTGTCTCAAAAAAAAAAAAAAAAAAAAAAAAAAAAAGTGAGGGTTGGGGTGCTTTTGTCACTATGGTGGAGCTCAAGGGGGGATGCTGGGTAGAAAGGGCTGCAGTGGGCACCCCGGACACATGCTGCTGGGGTGGTGAGGGATGCTCATAGGCAAATGGGTGACCCAAAGTGTCCCCAACGGTGGGACAAGCATGTGCAGAGGAGGGTCAGGAAGCAGGGCACAGCCCGGGGGCAGCAGCAGGGACCGGGAGCTACGTGGGAGGGGGAGAGGCAATCCACAAAGAAGCCCAGATCTCCAATCACCCTAAGGAGCCTGGGTTCTCTTCCACACTCCGATCTCTAGAAAACTTATCACCAAGGGCTAAAGGCTGCTGAAGCCAATGACTTTCTTTTTTTGGGGGGGGGATGGGGGTCTCACTGTGTTGCCCAGGCTGGAGTGCAGTGGTGTAGTATCGGCTCACTGCAACCTCTGCTTCCTGGGTTCAAGTGATTCTCCTGCCTCAGCTGCCCAAGTAACTGGGATTACAGGCACACACCCAGCTAATTTATGCATTTTTAGTAGAGACAGGGTTTCGCCATGAGGCCAGGCTGGTCTTGAACTCCTGACCTCAGGTGGTCTGCCCACCTCAGCCTCCCAAAGTGCTGGGATTACAGGCATGAGCTATAGTATATGTACATGTACATACATATAAATATAGAGTTAATGTAGTTTACATACACATCTAGTATATATAGACACAATGTCTAGTTTTATACATATACAATGTCTACATAGTTAATACATGTCTTTGTAATTTCTATGTAATTTATTCATATATGATTTCTATATAAATATATAATTGCCATGTAAATATGTAATTTCTATAGATATGCCTCTCATGGGTTTATTCATGAAATAACATATGAAAAGCACAGAGACTACAAAAGTGCTGGACAGACAGCGTTGAAACGGCACATTGTCATCTTTAGTGCCCAGATTGCCCTAACAGGGAGTCATTTCCAGTGGCACTTGGCTTCCTACAAAACAGTGGCTTCTGTCCGGGCGCAGTGGCTCCCTCCTGTAATCCCAGCACTTTGGGAGGCCGAGGCGGGCAGATCACAAGGTCAGGAGATCGAGACCAGCCTGGCTAACATGGTGAAATTCCGTCTCTACTAAAAATACAAAAAAATTAGCTGGGAGTGGTGGCGGGTGCCTGTAGTCCCAGCTACTCAGGAGGCTGAAGTAGGAGAATGGCGTGAACCCGGGAGGTGGAGGTTGCAGTGAGCTGAGATTGCGCCACTGCACTCCAGCCTGAGTGACAGAGTGAGACTCCACCTCAAAAAAAAAAAAAAAAAAAAAAAAAAAAAATAGTGCTTCCAAGGAAGACAGCAAGTGAAACGTCCAGCTTCACAGACAGGGCAGGTGTGGCTCGCCACCTTGTTCTAGCCTCTTCTACTGCTCTGAGACATTTCTGGTGTGAAACACCCAGACATCCCTGGCTTCACAAAGCACAAAGAAACCCAGGCTCTGTGAGCATTTTCCTTCCTGGAGTGGACAGTGGTAAACTTCACGAGGCCTCATCTTCCTCTGGGACCAACCCCTTCCTGCCCTGTGCACAGCTGCCCGGACAGAGGGCCTAATACACCTGAGCCAGGCTGGACCAATGGAATCCTCCCCAGAGAGCTTTCAAACTGGATCAGTGAAAGGAGGTTCAGTCCCTCACCGCGGCAGAACTTGCAGCTGTCAGGAGACAAGCTGTGGCTACGCTATTTCTGGCCACATTGACAAAGTCAGCCTGAGAAGAAAGTCACAGAAGCAGAGAACAGGGAACAAGAAAGATTCCTGGCGATACCTGGGTTGCCAGATGCCTCTGGAGCCCGACTGCACACCTGCTCTTCCCAAGGCTTGTGTGCTGCCTTATAGATTTTTTTTTTTTTGAGACAGGCTCTCCGTCTGTCACCTGGGCTGGAGTCCAAAGGCATGATCACAGCTCATTGCAGCCTCGACCTCCTAAGCTCAAGTGATCCTCCCACCTTAGCCTCCCGTGCAGCTGCAAATACAGGCATGTGCCACCACGCCTGGCTAACTTTTGTATTTTTTGTAGAGACGGGGTCTTGCCACATTACCCAGGCTGTTCTTGAACTCCTGGCCTCAAGCAATCCTCCTGCCTCAGCTTCCCAAAGTTCTAGAATTACTTTTTGTTTTTTAAATCCTAACCTACTTCTAGTTAGATTTCTGGCTCTTACAACTTCAAGATTAGAACTTGAATTAGAACTTCTGACCAGTGCACTCCACACTCACACATTCCTAGAACCTGGGGTGAAGAGCGGAAGAAGGAGAAAGCTTCCAGACTGATGGAAAACACTGATGTCACTTACATGCAAAGAGAGCTAGCAGCCAAGGGGGCGGATCACCTGAGGTCAGGAGTTCGAGACCAGCCTGGCTAATACGATGAAACTCCATCTCTAAAAATACAAAAATTAGCTGGGCGTGGTGGTCCATGCCTATATTCCCAGCTACTCGGGAGGCTGAGACAGGAGAATCACTTGAACCCAGGAAGGGGAGGTTGCAGTGAGCCAAGATCGTGCCACTGCACTCCAGCCTGGGTGACAGAGCAAGACTCTGAATCTCAAAAAAAATTTTTTTTAATTTAAAAAATAAAAACCATCATGGCAAGCAATTTCAGACGAGATCAGGCACGTTCCGGGTGGTGTGGCGGTAGACATGGCAGGTCATTTCAAGAACACGCAGTTCGTTCATTCGTTCCTCTAGGTAATGCAGTGTTACATCCAGGTCACTTGGCGCCACACAAGGCTGTCTCTGTAGGCCTGAGTGTTCTGCATCCTCAAACCAAACCAACAGAACCACAGATGGCAGCTTTGGCATAATACCTGCTGTTTACACAGAGGGGAAGAAAACTCGCAGGAGATTTGTTGTGGTGTTTCTTTCAAGGTGGTTGTTATTGAGGAATGGGTCTGCTACATCTCGCATACAAAGATCAAATATATCTTTAAATGCCCGAAAGAGCTGTATTTCCCCTGAGAAGTAGACACAGTTGTCTAAAACAGACAACACAAGTCGTATATTAGATGTACTCTGCCTGCCTTTTTTTTTTTTTTTTTTTTTTTTTTTTGAGACAGAGTCTCGCTGTCGCCCAGGCTGGAGTGTAGTGGCGCAATCTCGACTCACTGCAACCTCCGCCTCCCAGGTTCATGCCATTCTCCTGCCTCAGCCTCCTGAGTAGCTGGGACTACAGGTGCCTGCCACGCCCGGCTAATTTTTTGGTTTTTTAGTAGAGACGGGGTTTTGCAGTGTTAACCAGGATGGTCTTGATCTCCTGACCTCGTGATCTGCCTGCCTTGGCCTCCCAAAGTGCTGGGATTACAGGTGTGAGCCACTGCGCCTGGCCCTCTGCCTGCCTTTTTAAAGTGACAGGAATGTCAGATATAAATTTACAAGCATCAGGCTGGGCGCGATTGCGCAATGGCGCGATCTCAGCTCACTGCAACCTCTACCTCCTGGGTTCAAGCAATTCCCCTGCCTCAGCCTCCCGAGTAGCTGGGATTACAGGCACCTGCCACCACACCTGTCTAATTTTGTATTTTTATTTGTTTTTATTTATTTATTTTTTTGAGACAGAGTCTCACTCTGTTGCCCAGGCTGGAGCGCAGTGGCGTAACCTCAGCTCACTGCAAGCTCTGCCTCCTGGGTTCATGCCATTCTCCTGCCTGAGCCTCCCAAGTAGCTGGGACCAGAGGCGCCCGCCACCACGCCCAGCTAGCTTTTTGTATTTTTAGTAGAGACGGGGTTTCACCGTAGCCAGGATGGTCTCCATCTCCTGACCTCATCATCCGCCCGCCTCGGCCTCCCAAAGTGCTGGGATTATAGGTGTGAGTCACCGCACTGGGCCATAGTTTTGTGTATTTAGTAGAGACAGGGTTTCACCACGTTGGCCAGGCTAGTCTCGAACTCCTGACCTCAGGTGATCTGCTCACTTTGGCCTCTCACAGTGCTGGGATTACCAGTGTGAGCCACCACGCCCAGCCTTTATTAGTCATGTTCTTATCAGCATCCGAAATCCCTGCTGAAAAAGCGCAGTAGAAAGATGCCACACTCACCTGGGCCATGGTTCTTCTTTGCTGTTGTGGGAAAGCAGACACCTGTGAAGGCAGACGTCGGGATGGGGAGAGAGGTTGTGAGAGGCCACGCTTGTCCAGGGGCTCCTGATCAACTGCTGGGACCACCCCCCACCCCACCCATTGCGGGCACAGGTGGGAGAAAACCTTCTCTGAAGGGTCCCCATTATCAGAGCAAAGCCCTCACCTTGGAAATGTCACAGGGACTCACTCTTGTGAGGCCTGACTTGGATTTTTTGTTTTTTGAGATGGGGTTTCACTCTGTTGCCCAGGCTAGAACACAGCGATACAATCATGACTCAATGCAGCCTTGGACTCCCAGGCTCCAGTGATCCTCCCACCTCAGCCTCCCGAGATGCTAGGACTATAGGTGTGTCACATGCCCAGCTAATATATATATATATATTTTTTTTTTTGAGACAGAGTCTCGCTCTGTTGCCCAGGCTGGAGTACAGTGGTGCGATCTCTGCTCACTGCAAGCTCTGCCTCTTGGGTTCACGCCATTCTCCTGCCTCAGCCTCCCAAGTAGCTGGGACTACAGGTGCACGCACCACACCTGACTAACTTTTTATATGTTTAGTAGAGAAGGGGTTTCACCGTGTTAGCCAGGATGGTCTCGATCTGACCTCGTGATCCACCCACCTTGCCCTCCCAAAGTACTGGGATTACAGGCGTGAGCCACTGCACCCAGCCATGCCCAGCTGATTTTTTAACTTTTTGGTAGAGACAGGGTCTCACTGTATTGCCTAGGCTGGTCTCAAACTCCTGGGTTCAAGCAATCTGCCTGCCTCAGCCTCCCAAAACCTTGAGATTACAGGGGTGAGCCACCATGACCGACTGGAGTTTTTCTTAATGAGTATGTGTATCTGTGTCTCAGTAATCAATGTGCAATTTACTACAACCCCCACCCATTACCAAAAAATGTAATTATTAGAAATTTATTCTGAAGAAACAGGCCGGACACAGACGCTCACGCCTGTAATCACCACACTTTGGGAGGCTGAGGCAGGTGCATCACCTGAGGTCAGGAGTTCAAAACTAGCTTGGCCAAAATGGTAAAACCCCGTCTCCATTAAAAATACAAAACTCAGCCAGATGTGGTGGCAGGTGCCTGTAATCCCAGCTACTCAAGAGGCTGAGGCAGGATAATCTCTTGAACTTGGGAGGCAGAGGTCACAGGGAGCCGAGATCGTGCCGTACCACTGCACTCCAGCCTGGGTGACAGAGTGAGACTCCATCCCCCCAAAAATATTGTAAGAAAACATTTTTAAGGGGATGGGGTCTCCGCCTGTCGCCCTGGAGTGCAGTGGTATGGCACAATCTCGGCTCCCTATGACCTGTCCCTGTAATCTCAACTACTTGGGAGGCTTTTTTAAGCAATCTTGGCTTCCTGCAACCTGTTCCTCCTGGGTTCAAGTGATTCTCATATGCCTCAGCCTCCCATGTAGCTGGGATTACAGGCGCACACCAGCACGCCTAGCTAATTTTTTGTTTTTTTACTAGAGATAGGGTTTCACCATGTTGGCCAGGCTGGTCTCCAACTCCTGACCTCAGGTGATCCACCCGCCTTGGCCTCCCAAAGTGCTGGGATTACAGGCATGAGCCACCGTGCCTGGCCTATTTTTATTTTTTGTAGAGGCCAGGCATGGTGGTTCATCCCTGTAATCCCAGCTACTTGGGAGGCTGAGGCAGGAGAATCGCTTGAGCCTCGGAGGTGGAGGTGACAGTGAGCTGTGATTGCACCCCATACTCCAGCCTGAGCAACAGAGTGAGGTTCCATCTAAAACACTTTACATATATATATATACACACACACATATACACACACACACATATACATATATGCTTTTTGTAGAGTAAGGGTCCTGCTATGTTGCCGAGGCTGGTCTTGAACTCCTGGCCTCAAGTGATCCTCCCGCCTTGGCCTCCCAAAGTGCTGGGATTACAAGCATGCATCACTGTGCCTGGCCTGTTTCTTGTTTGTATACATCAACTACAAACTACAGCACATGTAATAAGTTTGTAAACATACATCTATAAAGAAAAAATTCTGGGCCAGGCACAGTGGCTCAAGCTTGTAATCCCAGCACTTTGGGAGGCCAGGGCGGGTGGATCACTTGAGGTCAGGAGTTTGAGACCAGCCTGACCAACATGGTGAAACCCCATCTCTACTGAAAATACAAAATTATCCGGGCATGGTGGCTCATGCCTGTAATCCCAGCTACTTGGGAGGCTGAGGCAGGAGAATTGCTTGAACCGGGGAGGCGGAAGTTGCCATGAGCTGAGATCGCGCCATTGTACTCCAGCCTGGGCAACAAAGCAAAACTCCATCTCAAAAAATAAAATAAAAAGAATCTGAAGAAAACACAAAACACACAGAATATTAACAATGATTATCTTTGCATGGTAGGATTTTGGTTTGGTTGGTTTTATTTCTTCAGATAGGGTCTCACTCTGTCACCTAGGCTGGAGTGCAGTGGCACATTCACAGCTCGCTGCAACCTCTGCCTCCTGGGCTCAAGTGATCCTCCGGCCTCAGCCTCCCAAGTAGCTGGGACTACAGACACATACTATCATATCCAGCTAATTTTTGTATTTTTTCTGGAGACAGGGTTTCACTATGTTGCCTAGGCTGGTCTCAAACTCCTAGGGGCTCAAGTGATTCTCCTGCCTCAGCCTCCCAAAGTGCTGGGATTACAGGCATAAGCCACCTCACTGGGGGGATTTTTTTCTTTTTTTTTTTTTTTTGAGACGGAGTCTCGCTCTGTCGCCCAGGCTGGAGTGCAGTGGCCGGATCTCAGCTCACTGCAAGCTCCGCCTCCCAGGTTTACACCATTCTCCTGCCTCAGCCTCCTGAGTAGCTGGGACTACAGGCGCCCACCACCTCGTCCAGCTAGTTTTTTGTATTTTTTTAGTAGAGACGGGGTTTCACCGCATTAGCCAGGATGGTCTCGATCTCCTGACCTCGTGATCCGCCCGTCTCAGCCTCCCAAAGTGCTGAGATTACAGGCTTGAGCCACCGCGGCCGGCTGAGGATTTTTTTCTTAACGTATTTTTTCTAATTTCTTCAACAATAAACTGGTGCTGTTTCATATGCAAATATTTCATAAGAATATACATGCATTTTACTGGGTTTTCTCCTCATGGGCTCCTATCAATGTCCTTCCCCTGGCGAAAGGAAAGCCATGGGGAGGGCTGAAGGTGGAGAAGGTGGGACGGGGCAAGTCTTAGCCATGATTGTGGAACAGTGCAAGAAGCCCCTGGCTGGTGCTCGGGAGCCCTGGGCGTGAGTGCCAGCTCGCCCTCTACTGAGCCTGGCAGTTCTGAATGTCTCTCTCACACCCATTTTGTTTAGTCTTTGACATGAGAAGGAGAAGCAAAAAACTCAGGTTAAGAAAGCAAATTCTGGCCAGGTGTGGTGGCTCACGCCTGTGATCCCAACACTTTGGGAGGCCAAGGCAGGTGGATTACCTGAGGTCAGGAGTTTGAGGCCAGCCTGGCAAACAGGGCGAAACCCCATCTTTACCAAAAATACAAAAATTATCCAGGTATGATAGTGGGCGCCTGGAATCCCACCTACTCGGGAGGCGGAGGCAGGAGAATTGCTTGAACCCGGGAGGCGGAGGTTGCAGAAAGCCAAAATCGGTCACTAAAAAAAAAAAGGAAGCAAATTCTATGGCTTGACATAGTGTAAGAGTTTATTTACTCAAGCTTGTTCAACCCACCTTATTTTGTTGTTGTTTTGGTTTTGTTTAGCAGCCTGAGGCCATGGCTTTTAGTTTCTGTCTCTACTGCTAAGTGGAAAAGAGGGATGAGGAAGGGGCTTTACTGGCCCAACCAGAAACAGAAACTAAAAAGCTATGACTGTGTTCTCTCCCTTGCACACCCCTGGTTCCATCGTGGTAGAAGCCAGGTCCGGAGGTGCCAGTGGGATGGGCAGAGCGGACGCTCGGGCTGCACAAGCAGGAGAGGATGATGGGAATTGCAAATGATCCAGAGACAGCGTGGGCCGGGCTTGTCCTCTGAGAACCAGGGACATGCTCTGGCCCTGAGCCCGCAAACTTGCACTCCCTAAAGCAAGATCCTCTTTCTCTTCCTAGCAAGGCTTCCACTCAATTGAAACCTAGATGATCCCTTGACGTGACCACCCAGGTTTACTCTGTCCCCAAGCGGGCTGGGGCCATTTCAGGTACATGGACCTTGGGTTTTTTATGGAGTTTCACTCTTGTTGCCCAGGCTGGAGTGCAGTGGTGTCATCTTGGCTCACTGCAACCTCCGCTTCCCGGGTTCAAGCGATTCTCCTGCCTCAGCCTCCCGAGTAACTGGGACTACAGGCAGCTGCTACCACACTCAGCTAATTTTAGTATTTTTAGTAGAGACAGGGTTTTGCCATGTCAGGCTGATCTCGAACTCTTGACCTCAGGTGATCCGCCCACCTCGGCCTCCCAGATCGCTGGGATTACAGGCAAGAGCCACCGTGCCCGGCCCCAGGTACACGGACGTTGGGAGCTGCCACCCTCCACGTGGCCCTCCGGCTTCAGCCCTAAGCTATGTGAAGAGGTCTCAGAACTGGGGTCTCGCTTTCCAAAGCAGATTCCTGCTCCCTGCTGCCAAGTTCTTCTTCACAGGAATGTTTTACTTCCGGCATGCCTGGGCCTCTAACACTTGCGCAAATCCACTTGGCTGCCAAGGCTCCGCTCCCCTACTGAGAACTTACCTTCAGGTGGGGACTCAAACTCCAGCCTCTGCAGCTCTCGGGACCGGGGTAGAAACAAGCTTGAGGTGCTGAGAGGAGTGACCCACCTTCCTGACAAAGTCCGATCCTGAGCTTCTGCAAAGACACGAGGAAAACCCGAAATTACAATGACGCAGTGAGGCTCACATGAAAACATTAGCACACCTGTCACCTCAGCACTTTGGGAGGCTGAGACAGGAGAATCGCTTGAGGCCAAGGAGTTTGAGACCAGCCTGGTCAACAAACACCCCGCCTCTACAGGGGGAAGAGAAGACATGAGCAGGATACCTTTACCCCGATGGAGAGAAACCAATCGGTGGCAGAAGGGAAAGTCAGAAAGCCTGGAACACAAGACGGAGTCCATGCTGTTTCTGGCTTTGAAAATGGAGGGACCGGCTGGGTGCGGTGGCTCACGCCTCTAATCCCAGCACTTTGGGAGATCGAGACGGTGGATCGCCTGAGGTCAGGAGTTTGAGACCAGCCTGGCCAACATGGTGAAACTCCGTCTCTACTGAAAATACAAAAATTAGCCAGGTGTGGTGACGCCTGCCTGTAATCCCAGCTACCAGGGAGGCTGAGGCAGGAGAATCACTGCAACCCGGTAGGCAGAGGTTGCAGTGAGCCAAGCTCACACCACTGTACTCCAGCCTGGGTGACAGAGCGAGACTCTGTCTCAAAAAAAAAAAAAAATGGGGGACCCCGTTGGAAAGCAAGCTGGTGGGCTTAGGGAGCTGAGTGTGGCCCCCAGCTGACAGCCAGCAAGGAATCAGGGACCTGAGTCTTAAAACAGAATTCTGCAAACCACCTTAAATGCACTTGGAAGCAGATTCTTCCCAGAGCCTTCAGCTAAAAGCCCAGCCCCAGCCTACACGTTCCTTTGAGCCAGGGGCTACCTGGAGCGTGGAACCCATAGGCAAGGCCGCCAGAATTTCTGACCTCCCAAACTCTGTGTAAGTGGGTGTGGTTTTAGTCACCAAATGAGTGGCAATCTATCATACAACAATAGAAAATTACTACAGGCTAGGTGTAGTGGCTCACGCCTATAATCCTAGCACTTTGGGAGGCTGAGGCAAGTGGATCACTTGAGGTCAGGAGTTTGAGACCAGCCTGGTTAACATGGCGAAACCCTGTCTCTACTAAAAATACAAAAATTAGCCAGGCATGGTGGTGCATGCCTGTAATCCCAGCTACTTGGGAGGCTAGGCATGAGAATCACTTGAACCCAGGAGGCAGAGGTTGCAGTGAGCCAGGATTGCACTGCTGCACTCCAGCCTGGGTGACAGAGTAAAACTCCATCTCAAAAAAAAAAAAAAAAAAAAAAAAGCAAGCATAAAAGCAAACCTGAATATCAAAACAAAAATATATACATTGCATAGATCCCACTAACTCAAAAAACAATAAAATTAGAAAATAAAAATACAAACAAATATTTAAACCCCTAAATATGAAATGAATCCATACTTGAAAATATTCCCAAAGAAATACCAGGCCTATATGTTTTTTAGGAATTTTATCAAACTCTCTTCAAGACTTTTGCAATGTGTAGAAGTGGTTCATTCGGGTTTTCTATGTCAGTCAATTTTAGCAATTTACAATTTTCTACAAATATGTCTTACTTAATTTCAGATTTATGCCATTAAATGATTTATAGTAACATCTCATTTTTTAAAAATCTACTGGCCAGGCGCGGTGGCTCACGCCTGTAATCCCAGCACTTTGGGAGCCCGAGGCGGGTGGATCACCTCAGGTCAAGAGTTCGAGACCAGCCTGGTCAACATGGTAAAACCTTGTCTCTATTAAAACTGCAAAATAAAAAATTAGCTGGACATGGTGGCACATGCCTGTAGTCCCATCTACTCAGGGAGGCTGAGACAGAAGAACTGCTTCAACCCAGGAGGTGGAGGTTGCAGTGAGCCAAGATCATGCCACTGCACTCCAGCCTGGGCAACAGAGTGAGACTTCATCTCAAAAAAAAAAAAAAAAAGCCCAGGCACGGTGGCTCACGCCTATAATCCCAGCACTTTGGGAGGCTGAGGCGGGCAGATTGCCTGAGGTCAGGAGTTCGAGACCAGTCTGGCCAACATAGTGAAACCTCATCTCTACTAAAAATACAAAAAAATTAGCCGGGCGTGGTGGCGTGTACCTGTAATCCCAGCTACTCCAGAGGCTGAGGCAGGGGAGTTGCTTGAACCAGGGAGATGGAGGTTGCGGTGGAGCCAAGATCGTGCCACCGCACTCCAGCCTGGGCGACAGAGCAAGACTCTGTCTCAAAAAAGAAAAGAAAAGAAAAGAAAATCTACTGTATCTGAAATGATCTTGTCTTCCATTCTAAAAATAGCTTATTTCTATTCTCCCTTGATCAGTGCAGACTGAAGTTTGTCTAATTTATTAGTTTTAAATACAAACCAAATTTTTTTGGGGAGGTGGTTTAAACAAATCCTTTCCAATAAATGATTTTAGCTTTTTTTTTTTTTTTTTTTTTTTTTGAGACAGAGTCTCGCTTAGTTGCCCAGGCTGGAGTGCAATGGCGCGATCTCGGCTCACTGCAAGCTCCGCCTCCCGGGTTCACGCCATTCTCCTGCCTCAGCCTCCCGAGTAGCTGGGACTACATGCGCCCGCCGCCTCGCCCGGCTAATTTTTTGCATTTTTTTTTTTTTTTTAGTAGAGACAGGGTTTCACCGTGTTAGCCAGGATGGTCTCGATCTCCTGACCTCGTGATCCGCCCGCCTCGGCCTCCCAAAGTGCTGGGATTAGAGGCGTGAGCCACCGCGCCCGGCCGTGATTTTAGCTTTTTAACTTTTTACTTGAGTGACTTGAGACTCAAAGGAAAGTTTCAAGAATAGTACAAAGAATTTCCAAATACCCTTCTCATCTAGATCTTCCAAATACTAACATTTTACCACATTTGTGCAGGCGGCTGGAGGGACTTCAGGGCTGATGAAAAACGTCCCACCACAAGGTGGCAGAGCACACACGAGCGGCACCTGGGCGAGGCTTTGTGCGGGCAGGAAGCCCCTCGTACTAGACGCCATCCCAGGGCTGTGGCATGGCTGGCATTCATTACCCAGAAGGAGAGGGGGCAGGGCCAGCTCCTGGGTATCTCTGAGAGCTTTAGGGTGTTTTTTTTTGTTTGTTTGTTTTGTTTTTTTGATATGGAATCTGACTCTGTCACCCAGTCTGGAGTGCAGTGGCACGATCTCCAACCTCTGCCTCCTGGGTTCAAGCGATTCTGCCTCAGCCTCCTAAGTAGCTGGGATTACAGGCCCCTGCCATCATGCCTGGCTGATTTTTGTATTTTTGTAGAGACACGGTTTCCCCATGTTGGCCAGGCTGGTCTTGAACTCCTGACCTCAGGTGATCTGCCTGCCTCAGCCTCCCAATGTGCTGGGGTTAAAGGCATGAGCCACCACGCCCAGCTAGCCTTTGGGTCTTGATAGTCACATGGTTTGTCTTATACATGGCCAGCAGATGTTAGGTGCATTTTCCCAGGTATGCACAGCAAGAGATCTCTAAATAACTACAAATCTGCATGTACTTGGGCTACCATTAAAACCACTGGGGCCAGGCATGGTGGCTCACACCTATAATCCCAGCACTCAGGAAGGCCAAGGCGAGAGGATCCCTTGAGCCCAGGAGTTCAAGGCCAGCCTGGGCAACATAGCGAGACCCCTGTCTCTATTAAAAAAATAAAACAGGCCAGGCGTGGTGGCTCACGCCTGTAATCCCAGCACTTTGGGAGGCCAAGGCAGGTGGATCACCTGAGATTAGGAGATCAAGACCAGCCTGGCCAACACTGTGAAACCCTGTCTCCACTGAAACTACAAAAATTAGCCGGGTGTGGTGGTGGGTGCCTGTAATCCCAGCTACTGGGGAGGCTGAGGCAGAAGAAACACTTGAACCCGGGAGGCAGAGGTTGCAGTGAGCCGAGGCAGTGCCACTGCATTCCAGCCTGGGCAACAGAGTAAGATTGTCTCAAAAAAAAAAAAAAAAAAAAAGAACATTACTCAATTTAGGTTTAATATCTCATGATTAGATTCAGGTGATACATTTGTGGCAGAAATTTCTTTTTTAACCTGCTCTATTTTTTTGTTTTAAGTGGAAAAACACTTTATTCCATAAAACAGAGTAAGTATTCCGCTCTTCTTCTTAATGTCTCCTCATATGCTTTTATCTTTGGGGGTTTGTGCTTTTTTTTCCTTTTTAAATGTCTTTTTCTGGGAGACATAGACTGGACAAATGGGGGTGGATGCTCCCTATTCTTTTTTCCATGCTAGCCACCTCAGCTGAATGTTATTACGTTTCACTTTTTATTTAATACATATATCAGGACTACAATAATAAGTTAAAAAGAAAAAGCTTAATTCTTGGAAAGGTTTTATTAAAACTAATAAAATAATTGGCTTGTATTTAAGATTAATAAAATCAACCAGAATCCAGGCAAAATTGAGCAAGAGAAGATATGAAAAAGACAATTTCAGATACGGTCAAGGTTTGATTTTTTTTTTATTTTTTGAGATAGGGTCTCACTCTGTCGCCCAGATGAGACTGCAGCGGCATACGCTTGACTCACTTAACCTCTACCTCCCAGGCTCAAGCGATTCTCTTGCCTCAGCCTCCTGATAGCTGGGATTACAGGCGTGTGCCGCTACTGTCCAGCTAATTTTTTTGGGGGGGTATTTTTAGTAGACACGGGGTTTCACCATGTTGGCCAGGCCAGTATCCAACTCCTGACCTCAAATGATCCACCCGCCTTGGCCTCCCAAAGTGCTGAGATTACAGGCGTGAGCCACAGCGCCTGGCAATGGTCGAGTTTTATAATTGTAAGATTACTATAAATAATTGCCACAAATTCAAAATTAAATGGGACACTTTCCTAGAAAATATAAATTACTAAAATTGGCAAACACAAAACCAGAATAAACTACTCAACATTAAGTGGATCCATCCTAAAAAATACAGCCATTGGAGAAACGTCAGGAATGTATCACATTCTACTCAAGATTTCTGCAATGTCCACCACTGAAAGTGAATTTATATCTAAAATATATGAAAAAAATGCTAAAAATAAGAAAAAGACAACCCCGAAAGAAATACAGGCAAAGGCGATGAACATACAAAGCAATCTTACACTGATTATGGCTACACTCCTGTCTAGTAAATAAACCAAAACATAGATATACAGAAATGTTGGCCGGGGGGGTGGCTCACACCTGTGATCCACTTGAGGTCAGGAGTTTAACACCAGCCTGCCCAACATGGGGAAACCCCGTCTCTACCAAAAATACAGAAATTAGCCATGTGTGGTGGTGGGCGCCTGTGATCCCAGTTACTCAGGAGGCGGAGGTTGCAGTGAGCCCAGATCGGGCCACTGCACTCCAGCCTGGGTGAAAAGAGACTCAACCCCCGCAAATAAAAGATATATAGCAATTTTAAGTTTCAGTTTAATCTCAGTGAGGGAGAGTACAAAGGGTCAACAGTATTTATGAGGTTTTAGTTCTGTAGAAAATCTGAACCCAGCATACTTTTTTTTTCCCCCACATCCATTCAGCTTAGAATGAAGTAAACTTTTGACATCTGCTCAATCTGGATCATGAGTACAAAGGTTTCTTTTTCTTTTACTTTGCTATGTATTTAGATCTCTTCTAATATTACTAATCAAAAATAGCAAAAAAGAATTACGGACATGTCATATGAAAAACCTCCTTCAGGCCGGGCAAGGTGGCTCACGCCTGTAATCCCAGCACTTTGGGAGGCCAAGGTGGGCGGATCACGAGGTCAGGAGTTCGAGATCAGCCTGACCAACATGGTGAAACCCTGTCTCTACTAAAAATACAATAATCAGCCGGCGTGGTGGCGCCTGCCAGTAATACCAGCTACTCAGGAGGCTGAGGCAGGAGAATTGCTTGAACCCGGGAGGTGGAGGTTGCAGTGAGCTGAGATAACGCCACTGCACTCCAGCCTCGGTGACAGAGTGAGACTCGGTCTCAAAAGAAAAGAAAAACCTCTTCCAATAAGACCCAAGGGAAACTCGTGGTAGAAAAACCACCACCACAAAAACATTTGGTCTTATCAAGATTTAAAACTACAGTACCAGTTTCATTCTTTCCCCAACTCAAGTCAGTTTCATCTTAAAAAAAAGCATCAAAGACAGACATCCTCCGCTAACTCCATCACCTCACACCACCCCGAGTGTTGCTCACCTTTCTTCACCAAGGGCTGGAAAAGAATAGTCTACATGGAACTGGCGCAGCTGCCGCCGCCTTCTCCAGTCTGCAACAGAGGTGTTGGCACTGTCTGGCCTTCATCAGGCGTCTCACATCTCCCTACTCAATTTTCTCACACCCTCGGTCCAACCCTCATAACTCTACTTCCTGCAGGGATGCTTTGACCAACACCCAAATATGATCGTGCCTCTGCCTTCAAGCACTGCATTTGCAGCTGGAGCAAGAGGGAGACCCCAGCCTTGGACCCTGCCAGTCAGCCCCCCACCCCGCCCCCAGCCTCACGGCCCCGGGTGCCTCCCGTGCCGAGTCCTCAGTGTCACCCATCATTACCCCTTAGGGATGCTCCTCACTGGTCCTGAAAGACCCTATTGCCCTTTCATCTGCAACATCTTATTTTTCTTTAAGTCCGACCTGAAGTCACTCCTTCCCCAGTTGAAACTGACCCTCCCTCCCCTGGGTGTCCATGCATCCTGATAGTTGGGGTAACTGACAGGGCCCCTACCCCTGGATCGCCCCCACGTTAACGTGACCAACACCTCCGTAGGACTGCATCCAACGAGGGACCCCAGCTCTTTGCTCCGCCAGATTGGACCCAGGTACTCAATATGTTTTGAATGAGCCCAGGCGCCTGAAATAACCCCTCCACACCCTGCTTTCGTTTCCCTCCTAGCTCAGTGCCCACCACTGGCTGCGATTGGAGGTCTATGAGCCAGGTTGGAGAGAAAGAAGGGGGGTTACCCTCTGCAAGAGACGGGGACTTTCCCCAACAGCCCCCCTCTTCCCCCTAGAGACCCAGGCACCGGAGTGCAGTGGAGTTCAGGGAACTGGATGGGCAGAGAAGCTCCAGGGGAAGGGACGGCAACAAACCCACTCTTGGGGAAGAGTCGGGTCCCCTGTGCAGAGAACGAGCCCCCAGCTCACCTGCGTCCAGGTGGTCACAGCGACAGGTGCCCTGCGCGAGCTTCCAAGGGACGGTGGGGTCCGAGGAGGCAGAGCTGCGGGGAGGGGCAGTGAGATAAGGGGCCAGCCGCTGCTCGGCACCCACTACCTGTAGCGTCCCCCAGCCCAACTCGGCAGCACCTGACAACCCGCGGACACGTCGGGAGGAGCCGCCCCAGGACCCCAGTGCAGTGCTGGCTCTGTAGCAGGTGGCTGCCGGCCACGCTCGCGCGCACTCAGCACAGCCCCATAGCCAGCGCGCCGCCCCTCCCACGTGTGTCTGAGGTGTCAGTCGCCGTGGGAACAGCCTGGGGTCCAGAAGTGCGCGCATTGCAGTCCCGCACCCCAAAACACTGCGTAAAAGAACTCCCCGGGACTACAACTCCCAGAACCCCCCACGACGCCATGCTTCCGGTTAGGCCACGCTGCACTTCCAGCCACAGCCGCGGCTGCAGTCACATGGGATGTGGCCACGGGCTGGCAAGGAATGGCGCCGTGGCTCTGGTGACACAGAGCTGGGGGTGAATGCGCCCTCTTACACGTCCCCCATGGCCAAGGGTGGCCCTCATGGGCCCCACGTTTCTAATCTGATCTGCCCCAAGCCCTGTTCCATCGTGTGGGGCGGGCTATGGCTGGCCCGAACTCGGAAGCCCCACCTGGGTCTGGCACTGCGCCTCCTTCCTAGAGTCTGTTGCCTGGGGAGATCATCGTAAGAATTTTTATTTAGAGATGGAGTTTCGCTCCTTGACCAGGCTGGGGTGCAGTGGCACCATCTTGTCCCACTGCAACCTCTGCCTCCCGGGTTCAAGCGGTTCTCCTGCCTCAGCCTCCCTATTAGCTGGGATTACAGGCACCCGCCACCATGCCCAGCTAATTTTTTGTATTTTTAGTAGAGATGGGGTTTCACCATTGTGGCCAGACTGGTCTCGAACTGCTGACTTCAGGTGAACCGCCCCCTTGCCCTCCCAAAGTGCTGGGATTACAGGCATGAGCCACCACGCCTACCCGAGAATTTTTAAGACTATGCTCTGGCTCTGTCGCCCAACTGGAGTGCAGCTGCACGATCACAGCTCACTGTAGCCTCCAACTCCTGGGCTCAAGCCATCCTCCCCCATCAGCCTCCCCAGTAGCTAAAACTGCAGGCCTGCACCACCATGCGGGCTAATTTTTTTTATTTTGTAAAGATTGGGTCTCCCTATGTTGCCCAGGCTAGACTTGAACGCCTGGGCTCAATGAATCCTCCTGCTAGGATTACAGGTGTGAGCCACAGTGCCTGGCTAAAAATTTTATTTTTATATTAAGGCCTATGCTTCAGTCCTCACGATAGTCCCCAAAACAGATGTCATGATTTCCATTTCATAGGCAAGGAGTGAGAGGTACCCCATCTAAATATTTACCTTGGAGGAACCCCTGCATAAACATGATGTCTGGGACCCAGGCATGGTGGCTTGCTCCTGTCATCCCAGATACTCGGGAGGCTGAGGCGGGAGGATCACTTGAGGTCAGAAGTCGAGGCTGCAGTGAGCCAGGATTGCTCCACTGCACTCTAGCCTGGGAAACAGTGAGACTCCCATCTCTTTTTTAAAAAAAATTTTACCTATAGGCCGGGCGTGGTGGCTGACGCCTGTAATCCCAGCACTTTGGGAGGTCAAGGCAAGTGGATCACTTGAGGTCAGGAGTTTGAGACCAGCCTGGCCAACATGGCTAAGTCTCATCTCTACTAAAAATACAAAGCTTGGCGTGGTGACCGGCACCTGTAATCCCATCTACTCAGGAGGCTGAGACAGGAGAATCACTTGAACCTGGGAGTGGACGTTGCAGTGAGCTGAGATCGTATCATTGCACTCCAGCCTCGGTGACAGAACAAGAATCCGTCTCAAAACAAACAAACAAACAAACAAAAGCCCAGGCACGGTGGCTCACGTCTGTAATCCCAGTACTTTGGGAGGCTGAGGCAGGCGGATCACGAGGTCTGGAGTTTGAGACCAACCTGGCTGACATGGTGAAACCCTGTCTCTACTAAAAATACAAAAATTAGCCGGGCGCAGTGGTGAGTGTCTGTAATCCCAGTTACTCAGGAGGCTGAGGCAGAAGAATCACTTAAACTCAGGAGGCGAAGGTTGCAGTGAGCCAAGATCATGCCATTACACTCCAGCCTGAGCAACAGTGAGACTCCATCACAAAATAAAATAATTTAAAAAATAAATGTATTCAAAAGTTACAAAGTGAGAGTAAAAAAAATTTAATAAAGTTTAAAATGATGCTTTTTGTATGCTTGACCATTTGTACCTTTGAAGTTATTGTTTAAAACTTTGGGATATCCTAGTTTATATAACTTAGTATATTAGAATTCCTGTTTTACAAGGTTAATGGAATTGCCTGTAAAGTTCAAACAAACAAGTATGATACTTGTCTAAAATTGATATTCCTTATGGTTTAATGTATCGTGGAGGGGGACACTGAATGTTTCTATGTGATTTTATTTGAAAATTACCAATGATCATTTTAGTTATTAACATGTTTAAACAGTAAGCTTCGTATCAATCTATTTTGAATTATTGGACACAGCCACTGAGACTTTTTAAAATTTACTCTTAGATCCAGCTTATGGTATTTTATTGTTTTGAGCCAGGGTTTCACTCTGTTGCCCAGGCTGGAGGGCAGTGGCATGATCACAGCTCACTGCAGCCTCAACCTCCCCAGGCTCAGGTGATCCTCCCACCTCAGCCTCCCGAGTAGCTGGAACTACAGGCATATGTCACCATGCCCAGTTAATCACGCTCTTTTTTGAGTGGGAGGAAAAACAATCTTTTCTTTTATAACATGGGATTGCTTTTTTTTTTTTTTTTTTTTTTGAGACAGGTTGGAATGCTGTAGTGTGATCTGTAGCCTCGATCTCCAAAGCTCAAGAAATCCTCTCACCTCAGCCTCCTGAGGAGCTTGGGTCACAGGCACATGCTACCATGCCCAGCTAATTTTGTTCGTTTTTGTAGAGATGTGGTCTGTGTTCCCCAAGCTGGTCTTGAATTCCTGAGCTCAAGGGATCCTCCCATCTTAGCCTCCCAAAGTGCTGGGATTAAAGGCATGAGACACCATGCCCAGCCACCCAGCTGGCTTTTCCTTTTGTTTCTACAAAAAGATTTTGTGTCTTTGTAAAAGGTTCTGTATCTGGTTTCCTGCATCAGGTTTGGACATCAGGAATTGGAGTCCTTTGCACATTCAACTACATAGATTTCTACCTTGTAGCAGATTTCTACCTTGTGGTAGATTTCTACCTGCGGTTTCTACCGTGTGGTTCTAGAGAGAATTATAAACAGTAGGCCGGGCGCAGTGGCTCACGCCTGTAATCCCAGCACTTTGGGAGGCCGAGGCGGGCAGATCACAAAGTCAGGAGTTCGAAACCATCCTGGCTAACACAGTGAAACCCTGGCTCTATTAAAAATACAAAAAATTAGCCGGGTGTAGTGGTGTACACCTGTAATCCCAGTTACTGAGGAGGCTGAGGCAGGAGAATTGCATGAACCCGGCAGACAAAGTTTGCAGTGAGCCGAGATTGTGCCACTGCACTCCAGCCTGAGTGATAGTGCATGACTCCATCTCAAAAAAAAAACAAATAAACAGTAGAAATAATCTCCATAAAAATGACTCATTTACAAATCTTGTGAGTGTAGACTCTTTTTAGAATAATCCTTTTGGGGCCGGGCACGGTGGCTCATGCCTGTAAACCCAACACTTTGGAAGGCCAAGGTGGATGGATCACCTGAGGTCAGGAGTTTGAGACCAGCTTGGCCAACATGATGAAACCCCGTCTCTACTAAAAATACAAAAATTAGCTGGGTGTGGTGGTGCATGCCTGTAATCTGAGCTACTCGGGAGGCTAAGGCAGGAAAACTGCAGAACCTGGGAGGCAGAGGTTGCAGTCAGCTGAGATTGCACCACTGCACTCCAGCCTGGGCAACAAAGCAAGACTCCGTCTCAGGAAAAAACAAATAATTATAATCCCCAGTGTTGGAGGTGGGTCTGGTGGGAGGTGACTGGATCATGGGGGTAGGTTTCCCCTGTCATACTGTACTCATGACAGTGAGTGAGTTATCACGAGAGCTGGTTGTTTAAAAGTGTGTAGCGCCTCCCGTCTTTCTCCCTCTTCCTCCTGCTCTGGCCATGTAAGACATTCCTGCTTCCCCCTCACCTTCCGCCATGATTGTCAGTTTCCTGAGGCCTCCCCAGCCATGCTTCCTGTACAGCCTGCAGAACTGTGAGTCAATTAAACCTCTTTTCTTCATAAATCACCCACTCTCGGGTAGTTCTTCATAGCAGTATGAGAATGAACTAATACAAAGGGGTTGTGTCCTGGAACCAATCCCTTCCAAATATGAAGGGCTGGCTTTATTTTATTTTATTTATTTATTTATTTTTTTGAGACGGAGTCTCACTCTGTCACCCAGGCTGGAGTGCAGTGGCCGGATCTCAGCTCACTGCAAGCTCCGCCTCCCGGGTTCACGCCATTCTCCTGCCTCAGCCTCCCGAGTAGCTGGGACTACAGGCGCCTGCCACCTCGCCCGGCTAAGTTTTTGTATTTTTAGTAGAGACGGGGTTTCACTGTGTTACCCAGGATGGTCTCGATCTCCTGACCTCATGATCCGCCCGTCTCGGCCTCCCAAAGTGCTGGGATTACAGGCTTGAGCCACCGCGCCCGGCCAGGCTTTATTTTATAGTGGTACAAAGGCTAGCACAGTGGCTCCCACCTGTAACCCCAGCACTTTGGGAGGCCAAGATAGAAAGATCGCCTGAACCTGGGAGGTTGAGGCTGCAGTGAGCTCTGATCACGCCACCGCACTCCAACCTGACCAACAGAGCAAGACCCTGTCTCAAGAAAAAGTAATAATAAGCTGGGGGAAGGGGCTCATACCTGTAATCCCAGCACTTTGGGAGGCCAAGGCGGGTGGATCACAAGGTCAGGAGTTCAAGATCAGCCTAGCCAACACGGTGAAACCCTGTCTCTACTAAAATACAAAAATCAGCTGGGTGTGGTGGCAGGCATCTGTAATCCCAGCTACTAGGGAAGCTGAGGCAGGAGAAGTGCTTGAACCCAGGAGGCAGAGATTGCAGTGAGCAGAGATGGCGCCACTGCCCTCTAGTTTGGGCAACAAATTGAGACTCCCACTCCAAAAAAAAAGAAAAAAAGAAAAAGTTTTCCTTCCCAATAAATTCATGGTTGCTATCAAACAGTAACAACAACAACAACAAATTAAATTCCTAGATCTATTTTTAGAGAGTTTTCCAACAATTTGTTTCTCTTTAATATTGATTAGCGTCACCAAAGATTTGTCTATCACTAGTTTATTTTTCCAAAGATAAAATCTTTGTTTATTAATTTTATTTTTTCCTCTCTTCCCTAGTAAGAGACAATAAAACTCTCACAGCTATCA